CAGTGAGCACCGCTCCTACGCCCACAAACTCATCCTCTAGATGTGCGGATGAACGTGTGGAACTACACAAAAGTTTCGCCGATTCTCCTCAGCTCTTCCTCACAATGCCCTCAGTTCGGAGAGCTTTCGTTGCCGTTGTATTTTCCGTACAGTGGATGATAGCAAAGCGGGGCTAAGCTAAATCCCCGGATTGGTTTTTACGCCCTGGATCTGTCAGAAGTGAGAAGTTTAGATTAAAAGTGACTGACAAGTGAAACTATGGATCTCTCCCCAAGCCCATTTGTATTCAGCTGGCGTTAGGTATACTCGAGCATTTTTTAGCACTTGACAAGTGAACAAAAGAATATGAAGAATGATAGAAAAGTTGGGCCTCTGTGTTTGTACAGTGCAGATTCCCACTGAAACTTTTTTTCCAGATTGTATTTTATGATAATGTTTGTTTAAAAGCTATCAGAATTCATAATTCCTTCGAGTAAAAACTCTGCATCATTTGCACGAAACTGGCGCACGAGCCTAAATGCGCAGTCTGTATGCGGCATCACTGAAAACTGTAGACCGCGCTTGCATGCAAATGCAAGATCTCGCGAAACTTGGGAGATATCTAGTAGTTCTACAGTTACAGACTGTAGTCCATCTGTTTCTCTGATACTTTGTTAGCCCCCTTTTACCCTGTTCTTCAGTGGTCAGGACCCCCATGGACCCTCACAGAGCAGGTACTGTTTGGGTGGTGGATCATTCTCAGCACTGCAGTAACTCTGACGTGGTGGTGGTGTGTTAGTGTGTGTTGTGCTGGTCTGAGTGGATCAGACACAGCAGTGCTGCTGGAGTTTTTAAACACCTCAGTGTCACTGCTGGACTGAGAATAGTCCACCAACCAAAAATATCCAGCCAACAGCGTCCTGTGACCACTGATGAAGGACTAGAGGATGACCAACACAAACTGTGCAGCAGCAGATGAGCTATCGTCTCTGACTTTACATCTACAAGGTGGACTGACAAGGTAGGAGTGTCTAATAGAGTGGACAGTGAGTGGACACAGTGTTTAAAAACTCCAGCACCACCCAAACAGTACCTGCTCTGTGAGGGTCCATGGGGGTCCTGACCACTGAAGAACAGGGTAAAAGGGGGCTAACAAAGTATCAGAGAAACAGATGGACTACAGTCTGTAACTGTAGAACTACAAAGTGCACCTATATAGTAAGTGGAGCTGATAAAATGGACAATAAGCGTAGAAACAAGTAGGTGGTCAGAATGTTATGCCTGATCGGTGTGTACATTCATGTTTTATTTTTTCCAATATGTTAAACTGTTAAAAAAAATGAAATTGTGCACTAAAATTTGTATTTTTAGGTTCGTTCTGCGTTGACTTACATTCACTTAGAACATCACCAATAACGTAATGTGACTTTTGCATCCAACTATTACATTGTGTGAGAAGACACAGCACAAAATATGCCAAGATGCAGCCACAACACACACGCGCAGTACATGTTACTGTTTCACAAGCTCTATTTTTAGCTGGTGTAGAATTACACCTCCGTAGAACATTTTGTGGAAAAGAACTTCAGTAATTAATGCTACTGAACTTTATTATCTTTACATTCATTTCAGATGCATTTTGAGCGCATACTGCTGTCACATCCAGATGCAAATATATAACGCGGCATAACTTTTACACAGGCCGCATTTTATGTTTTACACTCCGCCCCCCCGCTGTGTTAAATTCAGCAAATAAACAGTAACTGTGAATTGAATGTGCAGAAGTGTGTCTCTGTAGAGGATGTGTTCACTTATTTACCCTTAGAAAATCAACAGCACATGGAATATGAGCGGGGTGCCTAGACTTTTGCATACGACTGCACATCGGGCCCAAAGTCTGGACAGCTGGTGCAGCTTTGTGGTTTTCATTAGGTAAACATCCATGCGGAAGGAAAAACACATTGCATAAAGGCATCATAATTGCACATCATAAGTCATATGACTTAAAGCTGCACTATGTAAGATTTGGGGCTTTGGAGCCCTCTCTGGCAGAAATGTGTAATCACACACAACGTGCAGAAGAACATTCTATAGAGTGGGTTGTGCTGTGATCCCCTTCCCCGAGCAGATGAATCTGCTGATTGAAAGAGAACTCAAAGAGAACTCAGTCTAAACTTGGTGAAGCAGCGTCTCTGAGGATGTGAGTGAATTATCTACTGTTGTCATCACATCTTCATCACTATAGTGTTGATTCTGAGACCATTTGAGGCCTTAACATCGAGCTGGACCTTCTTTTTGAGCCTATACGTTAATACGTAAAGACGTACGACGTGGTGTGAAAAACTCCCTCTGACTTTTAAATGGTTATTTCAGGCTTTACAGGGCGAATCACAGCAGCAGCTCATCATATTTTAGCCTGTTTTTATTCTCCTCACTCAGTAACGACACTTAAAAGCAGCCACAATAAAAAAGCCTTAACATACACATCATTCTATAGTGGAAGTTATCCTACATTATTAACACAAACATTCCTCTGTTGATCAGCTGCATTCGGTTCTTCTGCACATTGTTTATCAGGCATCTGTTCAGCAGCGTCCCTGTAAACCACAGAGGACCTCAGTGTTCAGCCCTACACATTTGAAGCTTCATGCCCATTAATAATGGTCAGTGGATGGGTTTTGTTCAAACACAATGACTGTATATTGATTTCTCTCTGTTTCTGATCAGAAGCTGATAAGGAAAATAAATCCAGCTCATCTACAGGCAGCCTCCATCTGACCCCTCTCCCCAAATCGCCGTGGGAACTAAAAGCAGGCCATAATTCATCATCTGGACGGGTGCCATCGAGCAGCGCACAATGACATTCACGTTTACTGTAAAATATGATGCAATGACATTAGTGCTTACGGTAACACATGCAGATCAGATGACAGCACTCTGAGTAGATTATTATGTATAATGGCATAAATGGTATGAATTCATCCATCCATAATGAAACATGTTTAGTTTAGGGACCACAATGGAAATAAGTCTTTTCATATTACTCCTGATTGTTTCTCGGTTTTTAATATATCGCTGTTGTCTGAACAAAACCTCATATCTCCATTTTTGTTTTTTTCAGTTTTTGACATAATTTTAAAATACCTGTTGGTCTTTACATTGTGTGTACATCTCATGATGAACCGACCAAAAGAAACGACCCAAAATGACTCGGAAAGACGTCTGGTTCCGTTGACTTACATTAAAAGTAGAGTATGTTTTTCCTTCTCCTGTAAAGTTACCATTTTGGAGATACAAGGTTTTCTTCCAACAACAGCGACATGCATTGCCTCTTTTAAAGCGTATATTTATAAACAGTTGGGCAATATTACAGCATTTACTGTCATCATGATGAATTACATCACAATATGCCAGAATAAACATTTCTGATCATATTGTGGATATCGTGAGTACTTAAAACACTGCCTAACAAAATGTTTGACTACAAAGCCCTGTTTGGATTTAGTGCAGCTCAGTGTGTGAGAATGTTGAATTCAAATCAATGTATTCATAATATCTGATATATATAATATATTTTTAAAATGTGGTACTACTTTGTTTCGATCTATCAGATATCAGAAAAAATAAACAGTGTATCGTGAAAATTTCTCGAAGTATCGCGATTTTACATTTTTGCCCAGCTCTATCTGTAAACCCCATCAAATTTGAGGAATTATATGTTGCTACCAAACACATCTGCACTTGTAATTAGACTACTGATGAAATAATCAGGTAAAGCTGAGACATAACATATTAAATCCATTTTACAAATGAACAAATTAATTTGAAATTGTGTATATATATATATATATATATATACATATATATATATATAAATTGCCACTGTCTCCAAAATGGTAACTTCACAGAAGAAGGAAGGAAAAAAATAAATACAAATGTTATAGACAAATGATTACATTGTTAGGATGGAGATATATACGTGTATACATTCATACATATATATTGCTGCTCTCAAGACAAAACCTCATATCTCCATTCTTATAGAGGTCTATAGAGATATGATTTATCATATTTATATTTAGTCATTTGAATTATTTCTTCTGGTCCAACTATCATGACATTTTGAAGGTAAATGGCAGCTGGCAGTTTTAAATTATGTCAAAAATGAAAAACAGCAAGAACGGAAATACAAGTTTTGTCTTGAGAACAACAATATGTACAGTATGTATGAACGTATATGTACATATCTCTATCCTAACAATGTCTATCCATCCACCTTCTGAACAAACTGCAAGTGATAAAATAAAAAACGCATTAAAAGCATGTGCATTCTTATTTCCATCAAACTCACTTTCAGTGATAACAGTGCTTTACGAAGTGACGTCATTCCCACAACAAAGCCTGATTGCTTTGGCTTACCAATACAAAGGTTTATCTAACTTCATGTATGTCGCAACTTGTGCACCTTTGGCTTCCCCAGAACTCACAGACACTGTTTATTTCATTTAATTTAGCGTTTTCTGCTCATCTCTTTCTGTAGGAGCTGAAAAGCGGCAGAGTTCCTGTTAAAGCTCTCTGGTCTCTTTAGTGCAGCTCCAGCTCTCCACCACACTGTTTGGGTTTGATTGTGTTTTATGTAAGAGGCACGTGAGGGAAATCTGGAGTCTAAATTAACGTGTTAATGTTCTTTCTCAGAGAAAATAAGCAGGTTTTGCAGCATTTCAGATGTTGGTAAACCATTTTCAGTGTTTACAAAGTATTTCGGACAATTTTAGTTTCCGTAACCTACACCAACCTACACCGACAAACTTTCTGAAGTGCTAAAAAGTTTCTTGAAAATAATCCTGTGGCTCTTTACACCCACATGAACAACAAATGTGTGTTGGTGCTACAATTTCTCATTTATCTGAATGAGATTGTTCTGTAAGGCTTGTCCAACCTCGCAACAGCTGCTATGAAAGAGCACATCTGTGGGCGGAGCATGGACAGGTCTTACACGGGACAACTCCGAAGCATCTTACCTTGGGGCGGGCAGCATAAGTCCCAGTGTCTTGTAGAGGACCGTCCCGAGAATGAACACCGGGGACCCGTCCATATCTGACAAAACAAGATATACAAGAGATTATATTACTATACAACCATCAGGAGCGTCATTTAAAACAACCGTACAGCTAAAGATGATTTTATCTTCATTTCCTTCGAGCTTTCCAGCTGCAGTCTGACAGGAATTACACTTCTTAAAGTATTCACAGTCAGGAATCTCTTAATGCCTTCCTCTCCGCATGGTGGGATACTTTTAATCCAAAAATAATTTAACAAGATTACTTCCTTGTTGCGTTTGCTGTGTGAAAAAACAGATTAACCTCCGTAGCAGGAAAAAAACAAACTTTGCTGAATCTCATTTTAAAGGGAGTTCCCGATAAAGCTCGCATAAATCATCTCTTGGCTGTTGCCCACAGTATTTCTCATAATCTTCCTGGCTTATCTTTCCAAACTTTACTGCCAGCAGTGCATTAAAGGAACACTTCACCCAAGAAATGCTAATGTGGCTAACGATGAATGAAAGCTGGGGGGCGGCGGCAGCCCAGTCTCGTTTGCACAGCGCTATTAGCATTAATTAGACTGTTTGTAATTAATTATAAAATGGACAGATCCGGTCCTAAAACCTGACTGGCCTTCAAAGCTGCGGTATGATACTCAATATACACTCACATATGACCATCTGACCACAGGTGAATCCTGTATTACTGCACCAGGTCATAAACACTCTTGCGCTGTTAATGGAATAATCTTTGACTGTAATGGAGCACAGAGTGTACTGATGAAGTAAGAACCCAGTTCTGTTTAAACTGAGGGGCTGACAACTTATGTTCTTAACTAGAACTAGGCTGATTACCCAGCTAACAGGCTAAACCACTCCTCCATTAACATCACAGGCTTTGAATTAAAGTTCTTACAATGTGATTTACTGTAAAACTGCAGTATAAAGAAGTAAAGAATGTTTTTCACCTTCCAAAAGTCCGTCTTTCAGTCAGGACTGCCCTACTAAAGCAATAAGCCACGAGAGGCCATGGGTTACAGTGATTTTATCACATTACATCACGAAGTGGAGTAAAACTCCCTTCCTTGTGATAAAATCACTGTAACGCTCTGCCTCAAGTGGCTTATTGCTTTTATAAAATGGTGCCCAACATTAAATATGATAAAATACAATTTTTCAGAAAATAATTTTAAAGGTTATTATTAATAATAATCAACATAAGTACTCCGCCAATAAATGTAGTTCCTTTAGAGTAGAGTAGAGTATTGCTTCCAAGCAACCATGGACCACTGAATGAGGAGGACAGTCAGTCGCCCATTGCTGCACACTGCGGTCATTTCATGATTTTTTTTTTTACCTTTTGTCGCATAACAATGAACATATGATATCACAGCACTGTTAAATGTAAAAAAACCTTTGCTTTATAAGTACTTTTTGGTCACTAAATCACCACCGTGAGTCTTATTCAGCACCAATCCAGCGGCTCCTCTTCTCACACTGGGGCTGAATCTCAAACAGCTCCCTGCTCCCTACATAGTGCACTAAAGGAGTTTAAATACTGGATCCTGCAGCCCAACAGAGCAAAATACAGCTAAGAAATAGTGATTTGTGACTCAGACACATCCACACTCGATACATGATGCACTGTTTGGCTGTAGAGGCTAGAATTTCTAATCTTTCACAGCTAGAACACTAATTAGGGAGTACGTTTGGGATTCAGCCTGGGTTTGGCATGACTTCTGACTGAAACACAAACATTTGAAGTGTGTGAGACACTGCAGTTTTACAGTTAATCACACAGTAAGTGCTTTAATTCAAGCCTGTGATATTAATGATGGAGCTGTTTAGGCTGTTGGCTCTTTTAGCCTGTTAGCTAGCTGTGCTTTTGTTTTATGCTACCGACTCCGCCCACAAAATAAACAGTACAAAACACAGCGTCATACACTGCAATAAGTAGTTTATTTCACATTGTATTTCACTATAAAGTTTGGTCAGTAGGGGGAGCAGTGCACCCACTGACCTCAGAGTCCCCCTACGAGCACAGCCATTGGCTCCTGAGCTGCTAAATCCTGTCATTTTATTGGCTTCCTTCTAAAACGTCTGCATTAATTTGGGCGTGGTTCATGTTATGTAAACGAGGTGTAGGCTGGCGCTTGATTTCACGCACCAAAGCCAATCGCGCTCAAACCTTTCCACAGTGTACGAAAGTTTCAATAGGGGCCAATGTGTGTATGAGCATATTTGATGTCCACCATTTTATAAAAGCAATAAGCCGCTTTAGGCCGTACGTTACAGTGAGGGTGTTATCAGAAACCCCTTTACCTGTGATAAAATCACTGTAACGTACAGCCTCTCAAGGCTTATTGCTTTAATTACGTAATTACATTTGAGTGGCATAACAAACAAAAGTAATACTTTCTAAGGGTAAATTCGACAGTGAGGGATGAAAAAGGCCGTCTTTCAGTCTCTGAGTGTCTTATATATTAAATCAATTTGCCATTATTTCTCTTTTGATAAATTTCAGATAAGACTGATAGCCCCAATTAACAGAACGGCTGAGCACTGAACCCCGGTGCTGTGGCACTGTTCAAAAAAGGGAAGGCAGCAAATGCATTAATGTCCGAATATTAAATAATGTAGACAAGGCATCAATCAGAGAGAGGAAGTATGAGTGATGCCCGAGTCACTGACTCATCACAAACCCCCAGAAAGATGATCATAAATCTAAATAACATAATAGCATCTGTTCTCATTTATTATTGCATTACGCCACCTTTCACTATTGTATGTATACAGTGCAGCAGTCATTAACACTTCAGCGAATCGGTGTGTGAGGGTAAAGTCTTGTCTCCTTATGTTTGTTTATGCTCTTGCTTTTATTTATGCAAAGCACTCAGAAGCGCATTTGGGTATGAAATGTGTTATATAAATAAGCCAGTCTGGTCTGTAATGAGAACATCTGAGGACAAGTATGAGATAATTTTTGGGAAACGTAGACTTATCAGAGCGGAAACAGACTGGGTGTGAAATTTCTGAAGCAATCCAAAATGCTGTGAAGACGGAGCTCACAGTAGGGGGCGCTGCTGTGCTCGTCAACATTGAGTTCACATGCGCCCAATAATCTGATCATAATCGGATTTCTGCAGTTATCTGATTATTCAAATGCTAATGTAAACAACACACTCTGATCTACAAATCTGATTAAGAAATCTGATAAAGAGGCTGGATTTTAGCTCAGTGGTCAGATTTCTCAGTGCATGTAAACTCTTACTCTGATTTCTTTCGGATTTCTCAGTCTGCCGCGAGACACAAAACACTTTTGAAAACCAAACACGCTGAAACCAAATACGAAATGATGGATTTAAATACTCTTCATCTTCTAGATGATGTGTGTTCATATTTTCAGGTGGCGAGATGTTTTAAAATAAAAGCCACGTCATGAAGTTTGAGTTTTACGTTTACGTCACGTCGTCTTCTGTGAGTTTATTGGCTGGTTCTAAAGCAGAAATCTGATTACTGTCTGACTTACGTAGACCTGGAGTTTCCCCATTATCTGATTACTCAAGTGCATGTAAACATGATCGGATTACTGACCAAATCTGATTTTCTGCAGTTATCGGATTATTAAGTGCATGTAAACACACTCACTGTTTGGAGCCAATGGACCTAATAATTTAGAATGGTCCCAAAAAGCTGTAAATAAGCACGTCGCTATGCAGAGCAGGTTACATGCAGTAAAAACAAGCCGTTAGCTGATAGTGTTTCACCAGCTATCTTGTTTTGCTGTTATTCTCAAATTCTCTGGACGTTAAGAGTTCAGAGTGGAACAGGGGTTCACCTTTTTCAGTGTGCGACCCTTTTTTGTTTCTTTTAAGAGTTAACCTCTTTAACTCCTTGAGACCACAGGTGGTTCCAAAACGCACTGGGGGTCGTATGAGAGCTGTAACTGTCTTCTTTCCAGCCAAATAGATGGGTGATGTAATATTAAACCCTTATAATAAAAGAAGCTGAACTCACAACTTTTTTTTTTTCTACTGAAAGTCGACCCATTTTTCCACAAATCTGGACTATAAACTATAAACAGATGGCGTCTCTTCAGTGATCTGCTCTGTAAACATTTAATAATACAAAGAGCGTCTAAGATTTTTGTCTTTCAGCAGTAAATTGTAAGCATATAGTGATATGATTATGATCATAAAACACATGTTCTGTTAATTTGAGGGGAGCTTTTACAAAAAATAAATAAATAAAAAATAAATTTACATTTATTTCATGCAGTTACTGAATAATTTGCCTTACGATTTGGTCATGGAAATTCATATGGACAAACCAAAATATACCCTGGAGAATAAGAGGTTAAAAATATTTTGTGACCCTTCATACCAGTATACACATTAGAGAACTTCCAAATGAACAATCCCATAGCAAGTCTACTTAATGGGATGTGACTTTAGCCTTGCTTCAAGTTTAGCAATCACTGTATCTCAGTTCTGTCTAGACTGTCCCTCAGTAATAAGACCACCCAGCAGAAATTCAAGATGGTGTAAAGCTGCAACCACAGACTGCCGCCTCTCTGTTTTCTTTGCCAGAGAAGAGAAAAAATAAAAAAAAGTAAAAAGAAAAAAGTTCACCTCAGCGCAAAGCGAACTTTAACACTACCGCTAACTCACTTTTCATGTACCCGCATTATTTCCCATGGCTTTTCCACCAGCCGGTCCTTGAATCATTTTCTCTGTGTTTTATAAGGTATGTATATCTTTATAGCACCACTCTCGCCACCCCCCGGAGCAACGTCGGGACCCCCAGGTTAAGAAGTCTTGCACTAGAGGAATCTGGGGTGGTTTTAGAGGGGGTGTAGTCTTGTTAGCGATCGCAACGCAGCACCAAATGTTCACCTAAGTTGTCTCCAGACATGCATTCTCATTATAAGATCACATCCAGCCCTGCAAGACTATAAATAAACTAGCCGAGCCTTTATTATTAATTATACATTAATCATTTATTTAACACTGGTGAAATTACTCACATTGTGTTTTGTGGCTGTCTTACTAAAGCC